GGAACTAGAAGAATAGGATAAAGAAAATGAGATTATTTAGCCTTGAGAACAGAAGACCTAATGACTATAATTATAGTCATCAGGCATCTGAGAGCTTTTCCCTTGAAGTGTAGGCCCACAGAACAGTTGAGCATTTTAGACATTTTCTTGACATCCCTTTTAAGCAGTGTCCCTGTCCCTCATATTCTTCAAATCCCATGACCTACTCTTTCATTACACCTTTGATCTAGACACCTCCCACCAGGTGTTTTACCTCCTTGATCAAAAACCCTGAAATTTATCCTAGCATTCCTTTTCTTCCTTTGCTCTTCCCCACCTAAATCTATTCTTTATATGTGGTTCATAGTAACTTTCAAGCTTTCTATTCAAGAGTCCTTTCTTAGGCTATCACATCTACTCAGGCTTCACTTTCTTACCTTCCCAGTCTTAACCCTGTTCTCTACTCTTAAATCCCTTACCCCCTTGTCCCAATAACAATTCTGCCTCACCAAATCCCAATCCTGGATTACTCCTATCATCTGCTTTTTTACTCCTAGTCATGCTACTGAATGGAGCTAGAAGAAGGCATGCTACTAAGGTAGCTAGATCTATAGTTTATCTAACTTCATCTGGCCCCTACTATAGCAAGACAATCCTTTTGTTCTTTCCTAATTGATTCTTAATTCCACTCTCTACATGTTATTCCAAATGTTCTCTTCCAACCGCAAGCACACAGACACAGACACACCCCCCCTACACACATACACACGCCCTGCTCCTCAGCCATCCCAGCTGTGGACCTTGCCTTATACTCCCCTGAGAAAAAAGAGACCATTTGCTGAGAGCTTCCCATTCGCTTTTCCACACCTTAAAACCTCTTGGCACCATGCCTGACTCTGACCTCCTTTACCCCATCTGGTAATGAGATGGACTTTCTCCTTACCAAGTTCCAAACATTCTACATGTTCTTTTGATCTTATTTTCTCCCATCTAATCTTTTGTTAAATTTTATTTATTTATTTTTAACATTAATTTTTAAAAATTTTGAGTTCCAAATTCTCTCCCTCTCTCTCACCTCTTCCCTTCCTTACCCATTGAGAGGGCAAGCAATATAATATATCAGCTATACATGTGAAGTCATGCAAAACATTTCCATACTAGCTATGTAGCAAAAACAAACAAGAAAAAGCAAGAATAATAAAAAGTATGCTTCATTCTGCACTCAGAGTTTATCAGTTCTTTCTCTGGAATTGGATAGCATTTTTCATCCTGGGGCCTTTGGAATTGTCTTTGATCATTGTCTTGATCAGAGTAGCTAAATCTTTCACAGTTGATCATCATTACAATTTTGCGTTACTGTGTACAATGGTCTCATGGTTCTGTTAACTTCACTCTGTATCAGTTCATATAAGTCTTCCCAGATTTTTCTGAAACCATTTTACTCGTCATTTCTTACAACACAATTTTATTCCATCACAATCATATACCACAAATTATTCAGCAACTCCTCAATTGACAGATGTTCTTTCAATTTCCAGTTCTTTGCTACCACAAAAAGAGCTGCTAGAAATATTTTTGTACATATAGGTGCCTTCTCTTTTCTTTGATCTCTTTGGGATCTGCAGATGTAGTAGTTATTACTGGGTCAAAGGGTATGCACAGTTTTATAACCCTTTGACCATAGTTCCAGATTGCTTTCCAGAATGGTTGAATCAGTTCACAGCTGCACCAACAGTTCATTAGTGTCCCTGCTTTTCCACATCCCCTCCAACATTTATTATTTTCCTTCTCTGTCATGTTAGCCCATCTGATTGGTGTGAGGTGGTACCTCAGAGTTGTTTTCATTTATATTTCTCTAATCAATAGTGATTTAGAGCCTTTTTTATGTGACTATTGATAGCTTTGATTTTTTTTTCCCCTTCTGAAAACCACCTGGTCACATCCTTTGACTAATTTGATCAATTGGGGAATGGCTCTAATTTTTTGAAATTTGTCTCAGTCCCTATGTGAGAAACTTGCCATTAAAAAAAATTTCCCCCAGTTTCTTGCTTTCCTTTTAATTTTGGTTACATTGGGTTTTTTTTTATACAAAACCTTTTTAATTTCATGTAACCAAAATTATCCATTTTGCTTCCCATGTGTAAAGGTTAATGGTTGACATTTATATAGACCACTTTAAGATGTGCAGAAATGAACTTTTCACACATATCATTTGATCATCACAACAATCCTTTGAGGTAGCTATTTTAATCCTCATTTTACATATGAAGAAACTTCCAGAGAGGTTAAGGGACATACCTAAGGGTTAAACATCTAGTGTCTGAATCAGGATCTGAGTCCATGTCTTCCTGACTACAAGTTGTACCTTATTTCTTCCCAGGTGATTTAAAACACAAATAATATCCAGAATGCTTTGTTAAAACAACATTTAAGTATATTTTAAATCATATTGCTAATTGTCTTTTCAAGTAATAGTACTCTTAAACAAAAAAGGAAAGGGACTTATACAGAAATATTTGTGGCAGGCACAAATATTTTGTGGTGGCAAAGAATTGGAAATTGAGGGGATGCTTATCAATTAGGGAATGGCTGAACAAGTTGCAGTATTCAGTTGTGACGGAATACTATTGTGCTGTAAGAAATGATGAGCAGAATGCTTTCAGAAAAACTTGGAAAGATGTGAACTGATTCAGAGTGAGGTGAACAGAACCAGAAGAACATTGTACATAGTAACAGCAATATTGTACAATGATCAATTGTGAATGACTTTAACTATTCACAGGAATATAATGATATAAGACATTTCCAAGGGACTTCTGATAAAAAATGCTGTCCATCTCCATAGAAAGAACTAGTGGAGTCTGAATGCAGATTGAAGCATACTTTTGTAAACTTTCTTGTTTTTCTTGGGGTTGGGGTTGGGGTTTTTTTGTTTTTCTTTGGTTTGTGTTTATTTTCAAAACATGACTGATAATGAAAATATTTTTTGCATGACTGCACTTGTATAAACCATATTAAATTGCTTACTGTCTCAGGAGGGGGATAGAGTAGAGAGGGGGAGAATTTGGAACTCAAAATTTAAAAAAAACAAATATTAAAGATTGTTTTTACATGTAATTGGGAAAAATTACATGTAATTGGGAAAAATATAATATTAAAATATAAAATAAAAACATAAAAGCAACAGTACTCTTAATTCTATTCCTAAAACTATAAACTTATGCTACATTAAGAAAAAAGTAAAAATTTACAAATCAGAGGCATTCATTGTGATTGTTTTATAAAAGCACTAGAAACAGAATTCTGTTAAATTGTAAGCTTACTTATCGATGTATTTAAATTATTTGTGTACAATGTTTTCTGACTGACTGATTTACCATGCAGCTTTTTATAAATATATCCCTTGTGTAAAACATAGTAGATCTATATTTGCTTTGGGGGGGGGGATATTGGGGATCCATAGTTTGAGAAGTGAAAAGCTAATTATATATATAATATGTATGTATATGTGTATTTACACACATATGGTTATACATATTTTATATTATATATAATATATATGTGTGCTTATCCTTAAAAATAATGAAGTTATATAGACAAAGATAGTTAACTTAGCTTCTTATATATCTTATATAAAAAAGGTAAAGATACTTATCAGATTATATATCTAAGCCACAAAAGTACATATTGTCCATGTAGATATTATCTGTGTAAAAAGTTAGATTTTTGGAGATTTTCTGTCATTTATTCAGTTTTTCCTACTTTTCTATTTATTTTTAAATTTTGCTTTGAGAGCTCTGATTTGGGTCCTAAATTGATTCACAATTTCTTCTTCTAATAATTTTATTTCTTTTAAAAACTATTCTGGAGTTTCATGCTGTTTCCTCATCTTTGGGAACTTCATGGTATTCTTTTGTTTATCCAGTAATACTTGTTCATTTTCCTTCATATTATAGTATTTATTCAAAATACTTTAGTTACTTTTTGAAATTTTACTTAATCTTTTTTTTTTTTTGCCTTTCTGATCCCTTTTGTTATATAGTAATTGTGTATGTTGTTTTCCTTGCTCTGCTTACTTTATTTTGCAGCAGTTCATGTAAGCATTTCCATGCTTCTGGATACTCTGATATCTCTCAGTCCTCCTTCTAAGTGGGCACCCTAGGGCCACTGAAGACCTCCCCCCACCTTCCACCTTCCTATTCCTCCCCATAAATTACCTTTAATGGCTCTGGGGCTTCCCTGGAGTTCAGAGGCAGCTAAGTGGGATGGTGGGTAAAAGCAGTGGACTTGAGTCAAGAACACCTGAGTTTGAATCCTACTTCAGACACAAACTGTGACTCTGGGCAAGTCACTTTAATTGTTCTTAGCCTGAGTTTTCTCATCTGTAAAATGGGGATAATAGCACCCTCTTCATAAGGTTGTTGTGAAGATAGCCCATATAAGCTTTACAAACTTTAAAGAAAGTGTTATGTAAATGTTAGCTAATTACATGTGTTAGTAGGTAAATAGGAATTATGAGGGACAAAGTTGTCTTTAGACTTCAGAGGATCTGGGCATAGACAGAATGTGCATAATTACATCAGCTTTATTATAAAGGATATCTCAAGATATCATAGATGATTCATGCCATTATCCTTCTAGGGGTTGCTGGTTTAGACCTAATCATAGAATTCCCACTTCTTTTTAATAAGCTGTTTTAAGTCAAGTATTAAGAAAAAGGCCACAGTGACCATTGACAAGTTCTTTCAAAGACTTATCTTTAGAAATAAAAGCTGTTGGCTTCATTTCCCCCTTGTTACATACTCCATCCTCTTCTGTAAAAATTGTAATAAAAAAGTAGTAGAGTATAACCTTCCACTTTGAAAACAATGAAACCTTTGTTCAGGCCTCTGTACTTTTGTATAGTGTTACAATAAATAAAAGGGTGTTTAGGGATGGTGGGAAGTAATTAAATGTATCTGTTATGTAGAACACATTTAATAAAGTGTTTTTATGTTGTTTCTCTGTTTATTATCCTCCAGGAAATAAAGTTTCCTGTGGACAACTAACCAAACCAGTTCCTGACTTGAGAAACATCATCTCAAAGGAGCACTTCTTCCCCACCTTCCTAAGAAGTGAAGTCTATAGAAGCCAATACTGCTAGAGAGTGCTTTGTAATAACCAAAAAAGTTCCAACAGTGCTTGTGCCTTCTTTCCTGCATCTAACTAAATGAAGGCACTTTCTCTGTTCCCAGAACTACTTTCTTGATGGACCTTCTCTTTGGTGTTAGAATATTCATGAAATCCTCCCCTCACCCAGTTCAGGACATTTGAGTCTCTTGAAAAACTTGAAAAATGGAAGCCTTAGAAGTAGATGATATCAGCCCTGCCTTGGAAGTGACTGAGGATTTCTTCAGTTGTTTTGATAGTAAGTTAGAAAAGGTGGTCCAGCAAGCTGAGGTTTATGGCATTCAGGAAGTTCCTGAATTGGTAGGGCATGAAGTATTCAATAAAATAGCGGACAGTGGTGCCATCAGGGGTGGCACCTCCCTGGGCAAAGGCAGCAGTATCATTTGGGATGGCTGTCAAAATGGCCTCTTAGAAACCAAAGTACAAAATGTATTCCCTGCCAAAGAACAGTTTATAGTCCAGAGAGGTACAGCTCCTGATAACCTCTCCTGGATGGAACAAAGGGAAGCTTCAACTTTTAATTTTTTCAACATCTGTCAACGTCGGAGGGACAGGCCTCGGTCTGTGAATGACTTACTGGATGAGACCTCTTCTTTTAAGCCAGGCCATGCCCGATCTCGGTCAGATACTACTCATGTGGAGTGGGGAGTAGTCTTCAAATCAACTCCTTTGCAGCAGCCATCTGTTCAAGGCACTCAACCAGCAAAGTCACCTTTCTTATCATCATCCCACCACAAAGGAAAGGATGCTCAAGGAAATACAGGTATGTTTTTCATATTTGGCTTTTGTTCAAATAATGCAGCTTTCTCTTCATCTTGATAACTTGCTTCACCAATATTTTCTTTTCAGTGCTCCTATCTGACTTTATCTTCATTGGTTTACTCATCTTCTCATAACTTTTTATTCCTTTGCTTGAGGTAAGAATAATAGCCCCATTCTCTCCTTTTGAGTAGAGTGTCAAGAATCTGGGAAAAGGAAATTATAGCCATTCTCTTTTTGGCATATGTTATTTCTCATTTCAAAATCAAAATAATCTCTTGTTAAATTTAGAGATTTGCTTGGTGACTTTCTATTTATTTATTCAATCAGCAGATAGTTATCAAGTATCTGCTAGTGCCCAACGCTGTGCCAGATGCTGTTGAGGAATCAAAAGAAATGTAAAATACAGTTCTTACATATAACAAGTTTGTATGTATAGAAATAGACATACAAAAAGTTAGCTAACAATATGAGTGATATGGAAAAATCAAGTAAGCACTGCAGATATTAAATGGTATGAAAATTTGAAAAAAGGAGGAAATGCCATAGGCTGGAGTTGTCAGGAAATGATCCTAGTAGAATTTTAAGGGAGGGATCTTCAACGTTGCCTAATCCTATGCCCCATCATTTTACAGATTAATAAACTCATTTCCACTCATTGTTTTTGTTATTCTGAACTTGAATATACAAATACACATGAGCATTTCCATCTGCAAAGAAGAGCAGAAAAAGAGTATTGCATATGAAATCGTGAATCTCATGTACAGCTCATTTTTAAGTACATACTAAATTCAGCATATTCCAAAAGCTCTCTTTCTTGTTTGGGGTTCAAAATGTTTCATTAATGCTTTTTCCTTTTTTTTTTTCTTCTCAACTACTATTCCTCTCTTCCCTCAACTTCTCCCCTCTTCCCACAAAAAACCTTTCTAACTAATAAACATAAGTCGAGCAAAATAAATTCACACAGTGCCAGCGTTTCTCATGTCTCACAGTAAATGGTAAAGTTCTTCAGAGGGACCTTGAGAGTGTCCTTATATCACATCTTCTGACCACCTTGTGAGCACTTACCTTTTGTGAGCTCTCCATAAAATAGTCCTTTGAGTAAGTGTGTGTTTGGCATTGAAAGTACGTGGCCAGCCCATCGCAGTTTCGCTCTCTGCAATAGAGTCTGAGTACTTGGCATTCAACTTGAGAGAGGACCTCAGTGTCCAATACCTTATCTTGCCAGGTACTTCAGGATCTTCCTGAGGTACTTCAAGTGGAAGCAATTCAGTTTTCTGGCCTGGCACTGATAGACTGCCCAGGTTTCACAGGCATACAACAGTGAAGTCAGTATAATGGCTCTGTAGACCTTCAGTTTGGTAGGCAGCCTAATACCTCTTCTCTCCCACACTTTCATTCAGAGTCTCCCAAACACTCGCCTAGCTCTGGCAATGTGTGTGACAAGCTCATCATCTGGGTGTACATCCCTGGAGAGTATACTACCAAGGGAGTGAACTTATCCATAGCATTCAGAATTTCTCCATGTACTGTGACCAGGGGTTCCATATATGTATGGTGTGTTTTCTTGGTGTTGTCAGGCCAAAGTTAGCACAGGTGGCATCCGTACTCTGATCTGTACTCTGCTGCATCTCAGCCTCAAAGGCTGCACTGAGTGCACAGTCACCTGCAAACAAAAAGTCATGTACCAACTCCTCATCTACTTTGGTCTTGGCTTGTAGCCTTTTCAAGTTAAATAGTTTGTAACAGGTGTGGAAGCTGTCATTTTCATCCTTGTTGAAGGCATCTGACAACATTGTGGAAAACATCATGCTGAAGAACATGGGAGCTAGTACATGGCCTTCCCTTACTTTACTTGTAACTGGGAATGCGTGAGAGCATTGTCCATTATCCAGAAGCCGTGCCAGCGTGCCCTCATGAAGCTGATGTGCAATACTGATGAACTTCTCTGGGGAGCCCTCTTCCACAGACCCTCATGACTAATAGTATCAAAGGCCTTGGTCAGGTTGACATTCTTTATAGACTTCTGTATATCAATATAAATACCAGGAGCAGAACACAGCTTATATGCATAAGAGAGCATATGTGGCTAAAGAATAACTCAGCTTCTGGAAGGCTGAATACGTTTTTGGTGCAATGTCAGGGAGTTATTACACTTAGCCTAAAGCCTGAGATTGAGTAGTACAGAAGGGAAGTGTTCTTACCTTCTGAAGGCTTAACATGCTGACACTTTAAATGAGTTGTCTATGATTTGATTAATTTACTCAATCAACTTTCTCCCTTATATTATACTATCACGTCCCTTGGACTAGCATTTACATATTCTAAAAATATATTTGAAGTTCTAAAGTGTTCTGTGGACAAATTATTATGGGAGATGATAATTCCTCTCACATTTTACAGATGAGGAACAGGTCCTTAAGAGTTTGATTGTCATTTTAATAGAATACTGTATAACATATGAAGTGCTTTAGATATTTAATGATAAGGAGATTTGAATATTGATTATTAATACCATCATTTATGGAATAATATTATATATAAACTCATACTTATGCATTGCTTTAAGGTTCATAAAGTACTTTCCTCTCTACCTAGAGGTAGCAAAAATATTATTCCCATTTTACAGGTGAAAAAACTCAACCCATAGAAGTTAAGAGATTTGCCAAAGGTTTCATGGTCAGGTAGGATTCAAACTTAGGCACTTTGGCTCTAACTCCAGTGCTCTTTCTGCTATGCCGTGCAGCCTCTATCTATATAAAGTGGTCTTTTCATTAGGTAAAAGATTAGAAATTAGGGCTGTTTGGTTTTATTTCTGCTTTATCTGTTCATGTTGTTTTTGCTAAGTCATTTTTCAGTTGTGTCCAACTCTTCATGACCCCATTTGATGTTTTCTTGGCAAAGATACTGGAGTAGTTTGTCATTTTCTTCTCCAGCTCATTTTACAGGTGAGGAAATTGAGGTAAACAGGATTAAGTGACTTGCCCAGGGTTACACAGCTAGTTAGTGTCTGGGGCCAGATTTGAACTCAGGAAGATGAGTCTTCCTGAATCCAAGCTCAGCACTTTATTCACTGTACCACCTAGCTGTTCCTTATCTCTTCATAGTATCACAAGTTCCTGTACTTTAGAATAAGCCTCCTTATAATATTTGTCTTGTTTTTTATCTTTTCTAGTTCCTTTCCTGGACCTCACCTTACAAAAAGTTGGAAAAAGCAGCCTTTTCTGTAATTCCTCTTTCTTCCTGTTTATTCCCTTTCCACTTACTTCATCTCTCCCTACAAATGTTGTAGTAAGGTCAAAGGTTTTCTCCATTATACTGGGAAATTGCTGTTTCGAGGACTTCACTAGTATTCACTTTGTTGTTTATATTTTCACTTCCATATGATCTGAGTAACCTGGCTCCCTGATACATTTCTCTAATACAAAGTAAGCTCTTTAAGGGGAAGGGACTGTTTCATTTTTATCTTTGTCAATTCCTCAAGCCTCTTACAGTACCTGGAACTTAGTAGGCACTTAATAAAAATATAATTGAATGACTGATTGATCCTAAGTGAGTGTGGGTACTTTATCAGTTTGGAAACAATTTAGTTTCTAATACAAGAGGCATGGAGCAGTGGATGTTGGTACAGTTAGAACTCTTGCTAATAAGCAAGCCTGCCCAAGTTTCTTTCTCAGGGTTGAAACTAGAAGCAGTTATATTTGGTGGTAATAATAGCATTTTTCTTATCATTTAAGTTTTTCCTTATCATTTAAGGTTCCTAAAGCCCTTTGCAGTATATTCAGCTCTTATTCTTCACAATATCTTGCAGTAACAGTAGATACAAAGCTGAGATAGCTCTTCAATCTAGAAAGTAATGAGAAAGGCCTATCTCCTTTAAGAGAAATGAGAGAATAGTGACCTTTCTTTATATTCAGGAAAATATACTGATATACAAAGATAAGCTCCACATGGCTACATGGCCTAAATATAAAAGTTCACGTCATAAACAAATTAGAGGAGCAAGGAAGATATTACCTTTCAGATCTAAGAATAGAAAAGGAGTTAATACCTAAACAAGTAATAGAGAGGATCACATAAGATAAAAGGGACCATTCCAAATCTAATGTTGTAAAAATTAGAAGGGAAATAGATAACTGGGGAAAAGCTTTGCAGGAAGTTTCTCTAATAAATCTCTTATATCAAAAATATGTAAGGAACTGATTCAAACGTATAAAATTAAGAGCCATTTCCCAATAGAGAAATAGTCAAAGGATATGAACAGGTACTTTTCAGCAGAAGAAATCCTACAAATTTAGGATTAGGGTTTAGGCTTAGGCTTAGGGTTAGGGTTAGGGTCAACAGTCATATTTAAAATTCTCTGAATCATTAACAATTAGATGTAAATTAAAGCATCTTTGAAGTCCTACCTCATATCTATCAAACTGACAAAGATGACAAAAGTGAAACAGGTAAAATAGAGCATTGTTGATGGGGCCATGAATTGATCCATTCATTCTGAAAAATGAATTGGAGAGGGGCAGAGCCAAAATGACAGCGAAAAGGCAGGGACTTATCTGAGCTTTCCCATATTCCCCTCCAAACAGTTTTAAATAATACCTCAAAACAAATTCTGGAGTGGCAGAACCCACAAAAGCATGGAGTGAACCAACTATCTGGCCCAAGACAACTTAGGAGATCAGAAGGAAAGGTCTGCCACACCAGAGTGAGAGTGGAGCACAGTCCAGTGCAGGCTGCACCAACACGGGCTGTGCTCCAGTAAAGCAGTAGCAGGCAATGGGGGCGACTGAATCATTGCAATAGCAGCTTCAGGAGCACTCAGCCCACAGGTGATGAGGGGGAGGGAGGTGTGTCTAACAACTGGTCAGAAGGAGCCTTAGACAGGATAACACAAGATTCATGCTACTTGGAATATTTTCTCCTTGACCTGGGAGCTCCAGAATTTGGCTATAATATTCCTTTTGCTGGCACTGGGTGCAAGTCTCTGTTTCATTTCCCATACCT